CATACTCCCCCAGAGCACCGAGACATCGTCCTCGGTTGATGTAATTAACTCAACAGATTGTGCGGTCTGTTGAGTTGAGGACAGTCATCGTCTTCTATGTAGAGAAGATCCCTCCTCGCTAGCTTCTCCATGATCGTCGATCATCGCAGTATGTATGTCCGGTCCGGGCGGAGGGCTGGTCACCACGACTTCCGGAGATGACTTGGGGGTAGCATTCTTTGCCGTCTTATTCTTTCCCCCGGCCACAGAGGAACGCCTTTTTTTTGGTTTCTTGTTCTCCTGTCGTGGACTCCGAGAAGAAGCACTTGTACTAGAAGTAGGCACAGAGACGCCTATGTGTGAAAAAGCTTTCTACAGCAGCCTCGCCGCATCAGCAGGATCAACCAAAACGTCCTCCTCGGGGACGACAACTGAGCCCTAGGGTAGACCTATATTTGATAGGAGAGGAGAATTAGATAACTTTCTCATAAAAAAGGTAAGGACATGACGAGTTAAACTTACCATGATTTTTGGCCTTCCACCCATATTTCAGGGATAACTCTTTCCACGAGCAGGTTTTGGGTGTAATAACGTCCAAATTTTTCTGAAACCATTGGTCCAATCCCTCAACCCTAGGGGGAACCCACCGAGTCTCAGAGACATATAAAGGAAGAATAATTAATAATGACGAGAAAAGGATCTTTAACAAGAGTAGAAGCAAATTGTATACTTACGAGTGCGGTTCCACAATTCCGGGAAGGAAGGTTCCGAGGCCGGGATGATGTCGCTGGTGGCAACGAAAACAAACCTTTCCATTTACTCACGATCGTTATCATTATCCATGCTAGATAGCAATGCATGGTGGCCTTGATTGCTGAAGTTGAACATCCCCCCACGAAAGATCTTGGGGGAATAAGGTTCATCATGTGAGCTAAGGATAGTTCCTCCCCCGTTTCTTGGCACAGGCGTCGAAGGCAAGCAATCGTCCTCCATAGAGAGGGACTCACCTATGACAAACACACTTGGTAGTGGAGGCAAAACTCCTCAATGACGGAGTCAAGCTCTCCACTCAGAGAAAATATCCCCAAAGTGAAGGGATACGTATAGACGTACGTAAAACCCTCCTTAGGTAAGGTTACCCACTCCGCCAGGTCAGAAGCGATAATGTTTAAATCCGGGCAACGACAATCTTCCTTCGTAGTAGGAATGATGGTAGGACGGATGGAAGAAGGATATCTACTAACGGCCCATGTACGAGGGCTAATAGAAGGAAATTTCTCTTCGAAGTATTTTGTTGTAACAAGACTTCTAGGGATGATGGTGCTCACTGTTGGAGGAGCAACATCCTCGGCTTTGTTTTTGTTCTTTGAGGAACTGATATTTTTTTTGAAGAAGCCATTGTATGTTATGGAAGAAGGAAAAGCTTCTCTCGTTTGAAGAGAGTTAAAGAAAGGTTGAAGAACAGAATACAAGTTGAATGAAGAGAGTTTGAGAGAGTTTGGAGAATTATGGAGTATGAATGAAAGAGGTTGATGCATATAACTAAAGGTTTAGGTGGCTAAATTCGTGCCCATGATTACCTTGATAATCGGCAAAAGTTATGCTGAATCGTGGGATGACGTGTGTTCGGGGTATTAAATGCGAGAGACGTGTGTCTACTCAACCGTGGGATCAGAGAAATTCCCGCCAAAAAGAATGTTTCTACCAACTTCCCGGTGACACAAAGTTATATCACCAGAAAGCAGGGGGACTAGTATAGGGTAAAGTATGCTATGCTAAGTGGTTGCATAAGAGAGTGACACGTGGAGCCGAAAGTAGAGGATAGTTAAAATCGAAGACAATTGTTCCATTTTCACCGGAAAGAATGACGCTCATAAAGACGCAATAAATACCTGTCACCCGGTAGTATTTAATGGAGAATATTCCACAACATTTAGTACACTACCCGTTACAAAGAATTTGTCATTTATGCTCACCGTTATACATTCTTCAGTGGCCCTCATAATTGACATTAAAGAAGGGCATAATCCTAGGACCTTGTTCCCTAGGTGCAGCTATAAATAGTGAGCTCTGTTATCATTGTAGATGACACGAATTTTCTGGCAAACTTACACTATAATCTATTCAAATCTCTATACAATTTTATCCTCTTACTTTTCGATTTCATTATTGTTATGCCCGGAAGCCTTGCTCCTGGATTTACTATTTATGTCGTTTCATCTTCATCACAAGGCTAAGTATTGTGCATTTATTCAATTATTTTACTATTTCAAGATTGAATTAATTCACTTATCTAGAAATCACATATAAATTCAACTGTATCATTTTACAGGTAAACACTGATATTATTAATTGTTCACAAACTCTATTTGGTTTGCATGATTTTATGATTGTTGATTGTTCACCAAACTCTACCATATTGGCATGACTTTGTATTATTTGCATTCAACCTATTTATTACATTCTTCACAAACTCTACCCAGTTGGCAGTATTTTGTGTTTGTTCGATAGTTCACCAAACTATACCAGATTGGAATAACATTGTATTATCTGCAATTGACCTATATGTTACATCGTTTATTTAAGTTTATGTGATTGACATATTTTTTTTTATGTATTTCAACAACGTGTTCTTCAAAATTGCAATTTTAGTCCATTAAAATCATCTCAAATATGCTTCAAATGATCTCAAGTTTGAAACAAAACTTCCAAATATTAATACAATTAATCCTCAATCACCAAGTTTTTCAAATAACACCAAATAAAAAAATCACTTTGTCTTTTTCAACACTTTAAGGACCAATAATAAAATTTGAGATTTTTAGAGTAAATCACTAAATCTTTGTTTGAACTACAAGTTTAAGCATAATTTATCAGCATTCAAACGATTATTAACAGTAATCAATCATTAACTTCCAGTTTTCACCCCAACAGGAATTTCAAGCTTTCAATATTGAATAGCTATGTTGTTCTAGTTAAAGGAAAAGTATAACAACAACAACATACCCAGTAAAATCCCACTAGTGGGGTCTGGGGAGAGTAGAGTGTACGCAGACCTTACCCTATCCCGAAAAGGGTAAAAAATCTATTTCCGGGAGACTCTCGGCTCAACAGATGAGACAATAATATCAGAAGAGAAACAAAAGAAAAGGCCTGTAACAACAAAAGTTGTGAGAAAGATAATAACAGCAACGAATAAGTGAAAGGACAATAACACAAAACTATGCAAAATAACAATATGAACACAACATAGACTGCTAAGAAACCTAAACAAAAATCTATCAGACTACCCGGTACAACGAGGGAAGAACTCTCGACTACCTCCTAGCCTACCACCCTAATGCTCGACCTCCACATGTTCCTATCAAGAGCCATGTCCTCGAAAATCTAAAGTCGTGCCATGTCCTGCCTGATCACCTCGCCCCAATACTTCTTAGGCCGCCCTCCGCCTCTTCTCGTCCTTGCCAAAGCCAGCCGCTCACACCTCCTAACTGGGGTATCTATGGTTCTCCTCCGCACGTTCCCGAACCACCTAAGCCTCACTTCCCGCATCTTGTCGTCCATGGGGGCAACGCCCACCCTCGCTCGAATATCTTTATTCCTTATCTTATCTAGTTTAGTATGCCCGCACATCCATCTCAACATCCTCATTTCGGCTACTTTCATCTTCTGGATATGTGAATTCTTCACTGGCTAACACTCAACCCCATACAACATAGCCGGTCTAACCACCGCTCTGTAAAACTTACCTTTGAGTTTCGGTGACATCTTCTTGTCATACAAGACTCTTAGACGCTAACTGCCATTTCATCCACCCCACCTCAATACGATGCATGACATCCTTGCCGATCTCCCCATCTCCCTGGATGATTGACCCTAGGTACTTGAAACTTTCTCTCTTGGGGATGACTTGTGAGTCGAGCCTCATTACCATGTCTGCTTCCCCCGTCACGCTGTTGAACTTACACTCTAGATATTCCGTCTTTGTCTTACTCAACTTGAAACCCTTGGACTCCAGGGTCTGCCTCCAAATCTCCAGTCTTTCATTAACGCCTCCTTGTGTCTCATCAATCAGAATTATATCATCAGCGAACAACATACATCATGGCACCTCCCCTTGAATATGGTGTGTCAGGGCATCCATCGCCAGGGCAAATGAGAACGGGCTAAGCGCAGATCCTTGGTGTAACCCCATAACCACCAGAAACAGCTCTGAGTCACCTCCCGCGGTCCTGACCCGTGTCTTAGCTCCATCATACATATCTTTTATCGATCTAATGTACGCTACCGACACCTCTTTCACCTCCAAGCATCTCCAAAGCACGTCCCGAGGGACCTTGTCATACGCCTTCTCTAGGTCAATAAACACCATGTGCAAATCCCTCTTCCTATCCATGTACTGTTCCACCAACCTCCTGATAAGGTGGATAGCTTCCATAGTAGAACGTCCCGGCATGAACCCGAACTGGTTTTCAGAAATAGACACCACCTTCCTCACCCTCCTTTCCACCACCGTCTCCCAAACTTTTATGGTATGGCTTAACAACTTGATGCCCCTATAGTTATTACAATTCTGGATATCACCTTTGTTCTTGTACAACAGAATCATCATACTATATCTCCACTCATCTGGCATTCTCTTCGTCCTAAATATAACATTAAACAACCCAGTCAGCCACTCCAGTCCTGCTCTACCCACATACCTCCAAAATTCTACTGGAATCTCGTCTGGACCGGTCATTTTTCCCCGACTCATTTACACACAGCTCCCACTACCCCATCCATCTTAATACGCCTACAATACCTAAAGTCTCGGAGTGCCCCAACTCACCCAGCACGGTGTTACCACCCCCCTCTTCATTCAGAAGTTTATGAAAGTATGTCTGCCATCTATGCTTAATCTGGGACTCCTCCGTCAACACTCTACCTACCTCGTCTTTGATGCACCTCACTTGATCTAGGTCACGAGCCTTCCTCTCTCTCTCGCTTTGGCCAGCCGATATAACTTCTTGTCCCTACCATTACCCCCCTAATTCCTCATACAACCGACCAAACGCAGTATTCTTAGCCTCAGTGACCGCTAATTTTGCCTCCTTCCTAGCTTCCTTATACCTTACTATGTTCGCTCTTCCATGCTCCTCGTCGGTGCTCTCTACTAATGAAAGGTACGCCGCTTTCTTTGCTTCTACTTTACCTTGGACCACGTCATTCCACCACCAGTCACCTCGGTGCCCGCCATAATAGCCCTTCGAGACCCCTAACACCTCTCTCGCCGCCTCCATTATACAGTCCGCCGTCATCGTCCACATTGCGCTAGCATCCCCACCACTCTTCCAAGCACCCAAAACTATCAACCGCCCTCCAACTCCTGCGCATTATCCTTAGTCAAAGCACCCTACCTAATCCTCGGTTGACCCCGCACAAACCTCTTCTTCCTCTTTATCATGATACCTACGTCCATCACCAGGAGCCTATGCTGAGTCGCGAGGTTCTCACTCGGGATCACCTTACAATCCACGCACAATCCCCTATCACACCTCCTGAAGAGGAGATAATCAATCTGAGTCTTAGCCACCATACTCCGGAAAGTAACCAAATGCTCCTCCCTTTTCGGGAAACTAGAATTCGCGATCACCAACTCAAAATCCCTAGCGAAATCCAACAGTGAAGTGCCTCCTCAGTTCCTATCCCCAAAGCCGAAGCCACCGTGCACCACGCCATAAATCCCAGCGAACGACCTAATATGACCATTGAAATTCCCTTATATAAATAACTTCTCCGCATGAGGAATACCCTGCACCACCTCATCCAACCCTTCCCAGAAGTGCCTCTTAGCTTCCTCGTCCAGGCCCGCTTGCGGCGCGTAAGCGCTAACGACATTTAGAGTGCTCCCTCCAACTACTAACTTAATCGCCATCAATCTATCATTCACTCGCCTAACTTCTACCACTGATTCCCTGAGCTCCCTATCCACCAAAATACCCACTCCGTTCTTACCCTTCACACGTCCGGAGTACAACAATTTGAACCCGTCCGCATACCTGGCCTTCGATCCTACCCACCTGGTCTCCTGAATACAAGCTATATTGACCTTCCTCTTCTGGAGAATCTTCGCAAGCTCTATAGACTTACCCCTCAACGTCCCTATATTCCACGATCCAATCCTCAACCTACAGGCTTCCTTGTTGCCTAACCACAACCGTTATACCTACAGTGGTCTAGACAAAATATGTAACTACAGACAGGCAAATGTCTAAACTTGGAAGTAACAAATATTATGCGCTAATACAACAACAAAATAACTAAAGCAGGCGAAAGAAAAATAGGTGGCGGGAGGTACCAACTCCCGCGAATAGATCCTAGATGCTGTGGAACCCAACGTCCAACCCTTGTGACTGTCACACGGCCTGCTCTGCTACGTTTGCCCATGCACCTCCCACCCCTCACCAAACAGCCACCAAAAAGGGCTACCTGAAACACACATAACACACCACGGGACCAAGAAAAAGAGAGGAGTGCAGGACTGTCACCGACACAGATTCTCCGGAAAATAGTGTCGATCCGAGAAATAGTGGGCATGAAAGGTATAAAGAAGAAGGGGAAACATAGAGGAGGGTGTTGCGATTGGAGCCGGAAAAGAAGAAGAAAGACGAGGAAGTGCTGGTGGTGCGACGGTCGCCGTCCTAGCTACTGCTAGTGTTAAAGAAAGGGGGAGAAAGAGAGAAATGCGGGGGTGGGGGGTAGGGGTAATAGATAGATAAAGGAGAGAAAAAGAGAAGGGCGAGAGCTTACCTGGTTTACCGGTGCCGGCGCTGGAGATTTGCCGGTCGAGAGATTACCGTTAGCGTTAGACTATCTAAGAGAGAGAAAAGAGTATTGTAGTATGAGAGAGAGAGAGAGAGAGAGAAGTTCTTAAAATTCTACTGATATATTACATCCTGACAGAAAATTCTGAAGTTTCAGTCAAATAAGAACAACAAGGACCAACATTCAAGCTAGGTTTAAGTCTGCTGTTAGTTCACTGTAAACAAAATCTTGCACATTAAGTAAGTTACTCTAAGCATTGGCTAGTAAGGAGGTAGGGGTGAGCCATAAATCGTGCACAATACAGTTATAACCCTTACGCTACAACTCTAATACGAATTAGGATCTGGTTTTGCCTCTTTTCAATATCAATTTTGGAGTAATTTTGGACGATATTTTTGGAGAAATCGAAGCAAAAATAAAGAAGAAGAGTTGTACTATCCTTGTATAAAATGTGCATAATATTTCCATGAAAATTTAGTATTTGCTGACCAACGTATATTCACGTTGTTTAATCTTGTGATGTCCCTCTTTTGTTTATTTTCATACATACTCCCAAAGAAAGTAAGTATACTATTTTTATTGTTTTATTTGTTTGATTTTTCTCCCTTTATGATGTCACTCTTTTATTTATTTTGATAGTCTTTTAAATTTTTTTGAAAGAAAGTAAGTATTATTATGAAATAAAAGTAATTTAGTAAAACATGAACAAGAAATAGAGAGAGAGAGAGGGAAGAGATTTTCTTATTCAATTGTATGTATTTTTCTATCTATTACAAGGCCTTTTATATAGGCATGAAAAGTGAAGAAAAATATGTTATTGAATATGTTATTAAGCATTTGAGATGAAGATCACAGAGGAAGATAATGGAGGAAGAGTAAACATCCACCATAATTTGATTTTTCTTATAACACTCCCCCTTGGATGTCCATAGATATTGTGCCTCGTTAAAACCTTATTAGGAACAACCCTTTAAAAAATCCTAGTGAAGGAAAAAGAGTACACATGTTTATAAATACGTCTTTTGGTTGCCTCGTTAAAAACCTTCAAGGAAAACCCAGTGGGACAAAACCTTGTAAGGGAAAAAGAGTACAATGCATATTAACTCCCCTTGAAAGAGCATCAATTCACATCCTTGAGCCTTCGCATTCCAATCTTGTACACTAGTTTCTTGAACGTTGACGTCGGTAAAGATTTGGTGAACAAATCAGTCATATTATCACTTGAACGAATCTGTTGCACATTGAGATCACCATTCTTTTGAATATCATGTGTGAAAAATAACTTTGGTGAAATGTGCTTTGTCCTATCTCCTTTTATGAATTCTCCATTCAATTGGGCTATGCATGCTACATTGTCTTCATACAAAATTGTGGGTAGTTTGTCACACTTCAAACCACATTTGTCTCTAATAAGATGTATTATAGACCTCAATCATACACATTCTCGACTTGTTTCATGAATAGCAATTATCTCGGCATGATTAGATGTAGTAGCCACGATTGATTTCTTAGTCGATCGCCAAGATATGGCAGTGCCTCCACATGTAAACACATAGCTTGTTTGAGATCGAGCCTTGTATGGGTCAGATAAATACCCAACATCTGCATAACCAACAAGATCGGGACTGCAATCATTGTCATAAAATAATCTCATATCGGTAGTTCCTTTTAGATACCGCAATATATGATTGACTCCATTCCAATGTCTCCTTGTATGAGTAGAGCTATATCTTGTTAAGACATTAACTGAAAAAGTTATGTCAGGCCTTATAGTATTAGCAAGATACATTAGTGCACCAATTGCACTAAGATATGGTATTTCAGGACCAAGAATCTCTTCATTCTTTTCTTGAGGTCGGAACGGGTCCTTATTCACATCAAGTGATCGAACAATCATCGAAGTACTTATTGGATGTGCTCCATCCATGTAAAACTGTTTCAATACATTTTCTATGTAGGCAGATTGATGAACAAAAGTCCCATTTGCCAAATGTTCAATTTGCAAACCAAGACATAATTTTGTCTTTCTGAGATCTTTCATCTCGAATTCCTTCTTTAAATAATCAAGTGCCTTTTGGAGTTCTGTAGGAGTTCTAATAAGGTTTATGTCATCAACATATACAGCAAGTACAACAAACTCTGATGTTATTTTCTTTATAAAAACACATGGACAAATAATATCATTTATATAACTTTCCTTTAATAAACACCCATTAAGGCGGTTATAAGACATTCTTCCTGATTGTTTTAGACCATAAAAAGATCTTTGCAATTTGATTGAAAACATTTCTCGGGACTTTGAATTATGTGCGTGAGGAATTTTAAATCCCTCGGAAATTTTCATGTATATCTCATTATCAAGTGAGCCGTAAAGGTAGGCTGTAACCACATCTATTAAATACATGTCAAGATTTTCATGGACAACAAAACTAATGAGATAACGGAATGCTATAACATCCATAACAAGAGAATACGTCTCTTCATAATCGATACCAGGCCTTTGTGAAAATCCTTGTGCAACAAGGCGTGCCTTATATCTTTGTACCTCATTTTTCTCATTCCTTTTACGTACAAAGACCCATTTATAGCCAACATGCTTAACACCATTAGGTGTTTTGACTACAAACCCAAAAACTTCACGTTTCGCAAGTGAAGTTAATTCTGCATGGATAGCGTTTTTCCATTTTGGCCAATAATTTCTCTATCTACATTCATCGACAGATTTTGGTTCAAGATCCTCATCTTGTTGTATTATTTCAACAGCGACATTATAAGCAAAAACGTTATCAATAACAATATTAATTCAGTTCCATCTTTTTTCCGTTGAGACATAACTTATTGAGATCTCTCCATTCTCATCATTTTCAGGTACCTGAACCTCCCTTGAGGTCTTATCATTTGTTATGTATCTGTGCTCTTCTTGGGCCACTACCTCCGTATTATGATCACTTTGATCATTTGCTCCTTTTCTTTTTCGAGGATTTTTATCCTTAGAACCGATTGGTCTACCACGTTTCAAGCGTGGTTTAAACTCATTTGCTTTAATTGATTGTCCTACCGGGATATCAACTCGAATTGGAGCATTAGCAGTGGGAATATGTGACTTAGTCACCCTTGGTAGGTCAGTGAATGCATCTGGCAGTTGATTTGCAATATTTTGAAAATGAATTATCTTTTGAGCCTCTTGTTCACATTGATTTGTTCGAGGATCTAAATGAGACAGTGATAATACATTCCAATCTATCTCCTTTCTCAGCTGCTTATTTTCTCCCCCTAATGTAGGGTATACTGATTCATCAAAATGATAATAAAAAATCTTGTCATAAAAAAAATCTCTAGTCATAGGCTCCACATATTTTATAATAGAAGGAGATTCATACCCAACATATATCCCCAACCTTATTTGGGGACTCATCTTTATCCGTTGTGGTGGAGAAATTGGAACATATACCGCACAACCAAAGATTCTAAGATGGGAAATAGTTGGCTCCTGACCAAAAGCCAATTGCAATGGGGAGACTTTATGACCCCATACTGAAATGGGGAGTTTTGTTCTCATAAGCATTGGTCTAGCAATTAATTGGAGGCGTTTGATCAATGATTCCGCTAGACCATTTTATGTATGAACATGAGCAACCGGATGCTCAATTGTTATCCCAGTTGATATACAATAATCAGTAAAGGCTTAAGATGTAAACTCACCAGCATTATCAAGACGTATTGTCTTAATTGTATAATCTAGAAATTGTGCTCTTAGTTTTATTATTTGAGCCAACAATCTCGCAAATGTCATATTGCGAGTTGATAATAAGCACACATGTGACCATCTTGCAGATGCATCTACCAAAACCAGATAATATCTGAATAGTCCACATGGAGGGTGAATGTGCCCACATATATCACCCTGTATACGTTCCATAAATGTAGGGGATTCCATCCTAACTTTAATAGTTGATGGTCTAATAATTAATTTTTCTTGAGAACATGTAACACAAGAGAATTCCTTAAATTGAAGAATCTTTTGGTTCTTCATTGAATGTCCATGTGAATTCTCAATTATTTTACGCATTATAGTAGAACCAGGATGACCCAATTGGTCATTCCAAATAATAAAATTATATTGATTAGTAAACTTCTCATTTACTAGGGCATGTGTTTCATTCCTGCTAATACTTGTGTAATATAAGTCGGAGGAAAGAGCGGGTAACATTTCAAGCATATATTTTTTACCCGACTTTATTGTAGTAATATAAAGATATTCAATCTTTTCATTATTTGTAGTCTCAATGTGATATCCATTTTGGCAAATATATTTGAAACTTAGTAAGTTTCTTTGAGACTTACTACAATATAATGCTTCATTAATAGCCAAATTTGTTCCTCTAGGTAGTAATAAATTTGCTCTTCCCGAGCTTTCAATTTATTTTGTACTGCCAGATATTGTATTAACATTGGCTCCTTTCATCACCAAATAAGAGAAATATCTTGTATCTCTTAAAATAGTAAGTATTGTAACACTATCCAAAAGACATATATCATCTTTATTGATCTTGCATCTAACTGAAGACTGGAAAATTTCCATATTCTTCATAAATAAACAAAAAGTACATCATAAGAAATACGAAAGACTATAAATAAAAGAAATACTAGAAATTACACGAGAAATGTAGAAACTAGCATATATGATGCTTTAGGAAAGTACACTAAGAAGAACAAACTACATAAAGACATAATATGAAAATAATAACTTTTCTTAAAGCTTTATTCCCCAATAAGATAATCACTTCTTCAGTAAATATCCTCAAAGAGGTCCCCAGCTTCTAAATGAGTAATATTTGTAAGGCCTCCAAAATCATCATCTTTATATGCAAGATTTGCCTCAGCATAATATTTGTTTGAGGGACCTGCTTTATCATCATTATTTTGAAAAGTCAAGTGAGCCTCCACATTGTTATCTTTTCTTTTATTGGATGCTTGATAAAGTTTGACAAAATGGTCAGGTGTACGGCAAAAACGTGCCCAATGACCTTTCATACCACACTTGTGGCAAATATTAACTCTGCCTTTTATAGGATTATTTTGAGGATCCTTATTGTTCTCTTGTTGAAATTTGGTATGGTTGGACTCGTGGTTGAATGTGCATTCATATTTTGTTACTTTTGTCGGGTTCCGAGACGTGGGACCCACATGCAATTTTTGAGTTAATTTTCGGATTTTGTTGGAAAATTAGTATTTTCATATGGAATTAATTACAATAATTTATATTGACTGAATCGAATTAATTATGACTAGATACAAGGCTTTCAGAGATCAATTCGCGAGGCAAAGGCATAGCGGAGTAAAGAATTACATGGTTTGAAGTAAGTAACACTTCTAAACTTGGTTCTGAGGGTATGAATCCTTGAATTTCGTGTTATGTGAATTGTTCGGAGGTGACACACATGCTAGGTTACGGGCGTGTACCATAGAAATTGTGACTTAATTAATTATGTGGAGTTGCATAGTTAAATAAATGTAATTATCCACATATCCTCCACGTGCTAGAGAAATTGAGTTGAGACTCATATTAAAGATCATGTTTAGGCTACGCGCCGATATATTTGGGGACCCACAAGAGTCGTATTGTCATTGAATCATTTGTTTAAATTTACTATTTTTTAGTCGGTCACATCTATCACTTCAATAACATATCTCAGTCTTTGTTGTCATTTATTGATACATCATATCTGTCACGACCCGAAATTCCCACCGTTGTGACCGTGATGGCGCCTAAAATTTCACTTGCTAGGCAATCCAACGTTAGAGAATCATTAAACCAATCCTTATTCCATTCGGTGATTAACAGCAAATAAGCTAAGATAAAATATAGTGAGTGCAGAATAATATCAAAATTTTATTAACTACTACCACCCGGATCTGGAGTCACAATTCACAAGCATTCTAGAATTCACTACAAGTAATAGTCTAAAAGAAATACAACTATTTGGATGAAAGAAACAGTAAAACAGAAAACAAGATAGGTAGGGACTTCAAGGTCTGTGAACGCCGACAGATCTACCTTGAGTCTCTGGATAATGGTCCACAGCAGAAATCTCGATCAACCCGAGCCGGTACCAAATTCTGCACAGAAAGTGCAGAGTGCAGTATCAGTACAACCGACCCCATGTACTGGTAAGTGTCGAGCCTAACCTTGATGAAGTAGTGACGAGGCTAAGACAAGACACCTACAAATCAACCCGTACAATTTAACAGTGCATATACAAGTAACAACAATGAAAAGCTAGACAGGTAATATCGGGAGGGAGAAACATGCTGAGGGAAATACGAGATAAAGAACTACGACAGGATGGTAACTAGAACAACCAATATACTATGAATCCACAGGAACAACGAATACAGTAAAGGAAAAATGCTCGGCATCACCCTTCATGCATTAACTCTCATATCATGGCACGACATCACCCTCCGTGCATTAACAATCACAATATGACACGACATCACCCTTCGTGCTTTTACACTCACAATATGGCACAACATCACCCTTCGTGCATTAATACTCACAATATAGCACGACATCACCCTTCGTGCATTAACACTCCCCCTTACCATAATGCAATGAATAAATAACAACAGGGAGATAGAATAACAAGTACAAGCCTTACTTCAATATTTGATTCCACAATATCAATCTCAACTTCGAAATAAATACACAATTATCACCAGAAGATCCGTAAACATGATAAGAACGATTAATTTAACAACATTAGACTATACCTGTAGCAATTAGGCATGGGAAAGAGACAATATAAGAAAAATAGGAGAAACAGGGAAAATAGGTAAATTGGCGGCGCATAAGTACTCATCACCTCACATATACGCCGCTCACATGAATTTCACATAGCAAATAATCTGAGGTTCTTGAGGTTCCTAATTCCCTCAAGTTAGGGTTAACCACAACACTTACCTTGTTCCGAAGGCCACTCAATACTTAATCACAACTTTTCCTCTAGAATTCACCTCCAAACCACTCGTATCTATTCAAAAATGACTCAATAATATCAAATATTGCTAAAGGAATCAATTACATTGCATAAATTTAGATTTCCCAGATTTTCCTCCAAAAAATCAAAAATCGACCCCGGGCCCGCTTGGTCAAAATTCGAGGTTCGGACCAAAAATTCATTTACCCATTCACCCCCGAGCTCGGATATATAATTGGTTTTGGAATCCGACCTCAATTTGAGGTCTAAATCCCCAAATTTCTGAAAATTCCTAGTTTCTACCCAAAACCCCTAATTCTACCATGAAAACTCTAGGTTTTAGGTTGATAATTCATGAAATGTAATGGGTAATTGAAAGAAAATGGTTTAGAATCACTTACCAACACTTTGGTGAAGAAAATATCTCTTGAAAATCGCCTCTAGTCTATTTGATTTTTTGAAAAGTTGAAGAAATGGCTTAAGTCCCGTTTTGGGACTGTTTAATGAACTGGGCGACAGTGTTCATCGCGTTCGCGAGGACACTGTCGCATTTGCGAAGAGCAAAGTTGCCAAGCTTACGCGTTCGTGAGTCCCCCTTCACGTTCACAAAGGCTACTCCCCCTGGACTTCGCATTTGCGAGACCTTGCTCGCGTTCGCGATGAAGGAAAGACTGACCCCTCCCTAAGGTCCCTAACACTACGCGTTCGCGATGAGCTGGTCGCGTTCGCGAAGGGTTAAGCCCCCATGGCTTCGCGTTCGCGACCAAGCCTTCATGTTAGCAAAGAGTAAAAACTCACCCTGACCAACTTACCTTTCGTGTTCGGGAGAGTATCTTCGCGAACGGGAAGAGGAACATACCAGAACAGTTGTTGCAACAAAAATATCATATTTTTCAAGTCCAAAACATCCCGTAGCCTATCCGAAACTCACCCAAGCCCTCAGGGATCCAAACCAAAAATGCACACAAGTCTAAAAAACATCATACAAACTTTCTTGTGCGATCAAATTACCAAAATAACACCCAGAACTACGAATTTAGCACCAAATCCAATGAAATTTTCAAGAACACTTTAAAATTTCTATTTTCTCAACTAGACGTCCGAATCACGTCAAACCAACTCCGCTTCTCACCAAATTTCACAGGCAAGTCTTAAATATTATAATGAACCTGTGCCGGGCTCCGAAACCAAAATACGGACTCGGTACTAACAATGTCAAACATCATTCAATTCTTAAAGATATTAGATTTTTAGACTTATAATTTTCATCAAAAATTCATAACTCGAGCTAGGGACCTCCAAATTCGATTCCGGGCATACGCCCAAGTCCCATATTTCGATACGGACTCACTGGGACTGTCAAAATAGGATCCTTCCCGTTTACCAAAATGTTGATCGAAGTCAACTAAAATTAATTTTAAGGCAAAAATTCTTGTTTTCATTAATTTTCAACATAAAAGCTTTCCGGAAACACGCCCGGACTACACACACAAATCGAGGAGGGTAAAAATGAGATTTTTAAGGATTAAGAGTGCATAATCGAGTTCTAAAACATAAGATGACCTTTTGGGTCATCACAGTATCATCATGTCGGGTTGGTTTTCATGTCATTTAGAGCCCGAGAGACTGCAGATTTTGAGTGATATTTAGGGGATCGGGCTGCACGCCATAACATATTTATTTATTTATGCCTGGATCTGGCTATTATTGCGCTTTGGTTGAAAGAGC